AATCTTGACCGTACACTTGTAATTAGTTGTTGGAAAAATAGCCCCCACACATTTTGCAATTATTTCAAGTTCTCCCCTAATTCCTCGATATTACAATCTACACTGAGCTAAGTAGTAAAGTACACACTTGTGGAAAACCTATGGAGCTTATGTTTACCGGTCTTAATGAGGAACGTTTTACACATGTGATAAGCGTGAGGAAGAAGGGCAAATTTGGCTAACTGCCAGTCTGCTACAAATGCAACATTGACAGAAGCAACCTGCGATGAGGCTGTGAAACTTAATAGGTTCAGACACAGTTGTGTAAATCCTGAATACTTTGGACATGAACTCTGCTAAATTAAAGTAACAACAAAAGAATCTTATCATTAACTATGATCTTTGTATCACCCAAAAGAATCTTCTCATCAACATTGTCAGTCTGTCAGACACTCTTACGTATATCTATGTATATATCTATATATAATAGCAAACTGATTTTTGTTCACCTATGACATCATCATTTTTTTATAGGAAAAAAAAAACCAGATCTAATGGTTAGGTTTGTTTCATTTTTTGAATCTAACGGACATGATTGAGTTTCTTTTTAAAAAATGATGTCATCTTATATATAAGAAAATGACTTCTTTTGTATTCCCGAACCAACGCCTTTTGTCTCCCCGAACCAAAGCCTTCCCACAACTAAACCATTGCACCCCTTGAAAAGATCTATAAATGACCATCACAGTTTACAGTTATCTTGGTTATTTTTTAAATGATTTTCATCATTCGTATAGTTAGTATGATAATTAGTAATGTTTATTTGTGTTAAATCGGTTACAGATGAAGGGTTGTATTTGTTAAGAGAGTGGTCATGTCTTTTTAGATAGAAAATTATGTCCCTTGGATTAAAAGTCATGTGTCTTGTACACAACCTTTGGGCTCTATATATAGCAAACGTGTTTCATTGGGAAAAGGTAAAAAACAATTCTAAACCACCCTCTCCGCTTCAAATCTTGGACTTGTTGTCTGAGTATTCATCTACGCAAACAGACGTTGTTTTCACCTCTTCCTCCTCCTTAGTTAAACTCGCGTCTCTTTTGACCCAAACCAGTGATCATCATTATATTCTTCTCCGCCACCACAACCCCATTTCTCATCTCGCTCGGCCCTTATGACTTGGGTTTTTCCCGCGGCGTGGTCGTTTGTTTAGTCTCCGCCTCATTATCTTCCTCTCCGCCACAACCACGTCATTTCTCATATCCTCGAGCGTTGCAACATAGATTTTCCTGCGGTGTAGCCTCCGCTTGTTCTTATTCCGGCTGCGTCCTAGGCATCTCTGATCTTTCATCCAAACAGTTACTGATATTGTTGTACGACTTTTGTATATACTGAAGTAACCACTGTCATAATTAGTCTGAGAAGCAATACTCTGTTTTTCTTCGTTTAGAAACAGAGCACATTGATTAATTTAACCATTGTCTCGTACACCGAAAGGTACTTCTCCGTTCAACACAGAGAAGCCATAGACAGACTTCGTTACTTGTATCACTCCCTCGCTTGGAGATAGTATAATCTGAAAAAAGTACCCCGATCTCTGTCTCCGATCTCGAACTCGACCTCTCCTGTGAACAGCAACTAACGTAGGTATATAAGGGAACACGATTTCATTCCAAAACGAAAGGGGAAACGATTTAATTCAAAAACTTAGTGAATTGATTAGCTTGGGTACAACCGGTTGGCGGTTAAGTTTCCGTGGTGAAGAGGTCGACAAGAATTGAACACTTCTCCATAATCGTAAGACAGGTACGTGTAAGGACATAATTAAATAATGCATGGTGGCTGGTTGAAAACAATATATATGCATTTATATGCACATGAGAAGGACTTGACTTCATACAATTCTCTCCGCAGTATAATTATATTTTAAAAACGATGGTGCGAAAACAATAACTGTTAAGTAACATAATATGAATTTCTTTTGAAAGGACATCTGTTAAATGTGAAAAATTGTGTCTTTCCATTCCAATGATGAATCATTTTAAAATGGTTATTGTTGGTAATTTAGATTATGATGCAAACTTTGATAATTTAATCAATAAGTAACATTGATTTTCATATTGTCAACATTTGTAAGTAACACAAAAAGTCAGCCACATGCCAATTAATTTATTCAGATTACAAAATAAATAGGAATGTGTTAATGCCTAAATTTTAATAATTAGAAGTTACGACATATATATAAATTGGGTGAAAAGGAAATATATATAAATTGAGGACCCAGTGGTTAGGAGTCAAAATATGTAATTAACCGCCCAAAACCGTCCGATAAGCAAATTATTAAACGAAACGTTGTGAACTTATTTAAAAATACAGGTAGAGCGGTACTACTATGTTGTCCAATATATTGGCCTCTTCTTTACTTTGTAAATACATAAGAAATTACTCCAACTTCATTCATGAGTTGGGAGATTAATGAGATGCCCAAATATTGAAACAATAGTTGACGGCTCATGCGTTTAAGAGCATCTCCATCACTGAAACTCTAGTAAAAGTTCATAAGTTTTTTTTTTTCAATTTTTTTTTTTTTTTTCAAAAATTAAAAAAAAAAAAAAAAAAAGAATCACTCGCGGGCCGACACTTGGCAGTCGGGCCCGTGAACAGTGTAAGAATTGCCTCTTAAATAGAGAGTTTTGTAACCAAACTCTTAACTATTCATCGATGTGACAGTATTGTTTATTAATTTTTTTTTTTTTAAACTTATGAATCCCTCCAAGGTTCACCATTGGAGGTGGTCTAACATGTCCCGTCCTAACATTACTTCCATAAATATGTACTTTGCTAACGTTTTACATTTACGTTATTTAGTAATGGATGACAAATGTGTAGATGATTTGATGACACCATCTTACCCATTTAAAATTTACGCGAAACGTCCCACCTGTTTAGCGAGAACTCACAACTTTTCATCTTCAAATTCAATTTCCTAAACACTGAAATCACTTCATTTTTAATATAACAATTTATTTTTTAATTGGAAGGTTACCTTTATTAAAAGTCACAACTTTTGATCAGTAAGGGACACCATGGTTCCCACCAGTTGGTCACTATAAAAAGAGGATGAGGACTACTAAATTTGTTAATAAAAACAACATGGATATAGAGATGAAAGGAAACAAGCTCCCGGGATACAAGTTTCTTGAGAATATCAAGATGAAACGTTGTGAACAAACTATTTTAGGCAGAGTAATTCGAATATGGGAAGTCAGAAATCCTAAAAATGGTAATGAAATAAGCCTTAATTTCTTACTATTAGATGGTTTTTAAAAAATTTAAATTAAAAAACTATAATATATTTAAAACAAAAATATATTAGAATGTATGGAACAACAATTATGAGATCATTCTATACACGTCACATCTCTCAATTTGCCTTGGAATTATTAGAAGGCAAAATATATATATCTATATTCAAAAATTTTGAAGTTTGGAGGGCTCCTGAACTTTATAAAATTTCTGAACATACTTTTAACATAAGGTTAAATGCAAATTCAACTATAACTCATGTAATAAAAGAAGAAGTAAAAATAAATGGCAAGAAATTTAGATTTCAAGATTATGATCAACTTATGGAAATAGCTTACAAGAATGCATCTTATGATGGTGTGAAATCTCTATTCTACAACAATTACTAAGTGTATGAAATGTGTTTTTTTTCTAATTTTAGGGATTTGTACAAATATTAGTGGTGTTATTGTTGAAGAAAAGCTGAACACAAATAATACATCAATCAGACAAAAAAGAATAAACCTAGACATGCAGCTAGAAGGGTTAGTAATTTTTCACTGCAGACAATTTAAAAGATTTAGAATTAAAATTCTTTTACTGATACTGACTCGGAAAAAAGAGTACCGAAGACAACGAAAGCTATACAACAAAGCAAATAAGTTTTTAAAAGCTCACTGAAGGAAGCAACAGAAGAAATAAAGCGACCACAAAGAAAAAGAAAAAAAAAATAATTGAAGATGATTTTGATATTTAAAAAACTATGTTTAGCAAGATTTTTTACATTACATTGTATTACCAAAATAATATAGACCTTTTTCTTTAAATATAATTTCAATCTAACAAACCATATATTCCAATATAAATTTTTAAATGTAATTATACTTCCCAAAAATTATATCTTATAATAGTTTCAGAATGAAATAAATAAACAAAAAATAAAACATTCCCCTTTCCCGCGCGTTTACGCGCGGGGTTGTTTCCTAGTATATGTAGAGAGAAAGCTTTCTTCTCTAAGATAAAATATTCGAATTCCTGTTTCTGATGATTAAGCGCAGAGGAAGCTAAAGGCGGCAATGCTCCTGATCTCGAGTGGCTAATTGGGAACCCTTCATTTTGGAATGAGCTGCAAGGAAGGAAGAATAACAACTGTTACATTATCAAAAACTCAGATTAGAACAACTTTNTATATGTAGAGAGAAAGCTTTCTTCTCTAAGATAAAATATTCGAATTCCTGTTTCTGATGATTAAGCGCAGAGGAAGCTAAAGGCGGCAATGCTCCTGATCTCGAGTGGCTAATTGGGAACCCTTCATTTTGGAATGAGCTGCAAGGAAGGAAGAATAACAACTGTTACATTATCAAAAACTCAGATTAGAACAACTTTCTAAGCTTGAAATGAAGAGGCTGAGCTGTTCTAAGATAAGTTAACTGGTATGTCTTAACTCAAAACACAAATTAAGGTGGATGATCTAAGCTCTTTTGTGGGTAACTGTATCCAGGAAACTAAGGTGAAGCAGGCTTTTATAAATGACCTCGAGTGGCTCGGGAACCCTTCATTTGTAATGGCCTGTAAGTGGATCCTACATATAATATTACTCTTGCCATCTTTGAGTTTATTTATTTACTCATCCACTGTTCCATAACACAAACATACTATCAGCATTATATACAGCAACAAGAATGACATAATCAAGAACAAGCTATCAAAAAAACAGGAACATAATAATCATGCATCACCAAGTCTGAGAAAATCGAGCAAAACACCTTCAGGATTTATGTAAAGATAAAAAGGAAATATCAACCAATCCAGAAACTGAAACTGTATACACAAAAACACATTCATATCAATTCAAAGTAAACATCAGAAACAACAACATTCTTGTTCACTAACTGTGCTTCCACATCTTGCTTTCTTCATTCACACGCAGTGTCATAAAATCCTTCAGGTGCCCTCTTTTCAAAAGGAATCTCTGTGTTATAGTCAATCCCCTTTCCCTTTTTGTTCCTACGCTTCCCAACATCAATCCCAGCTGCGTTGAGTTCCCTCCTCTTTTGCAGAGAAGCAAGCCTTGTAGCCTCCTGAATCTGATTTTCTCTAGCTTTTCTTTTAGCCTTCTTTCCCCTAGTGTTAGCCAATCTTGCCCTAGCTTCAGAAATCATCTCCATCTCATCACCGTCCATCTCCACCGGATCAGGACGAGCAGGCTTTGATTCTTGATTAGGATCAATCTCACCAGGACCTAGTTTCCTCAGATCACCCGCTGCTTCATAACCGCACGCTGCATCAAGAAGCTTTTCGTACCTCTCAAGGCACTGAGAAGCCGTGCGTCCCACGGCAGGAGCGATTGTTCTCCACTGAGTAGGCAGAATCTTTGCAAGATGTAAAAGCTTCTCGTCTTCTTCTCTGGTCCATTCGGTTTTCTTGATGGAAGGATCGAGCCACTCGTTCCAGCGAGCCTTACACTGTTTGGATGACTTGCGAACGCTAAGAGAGGAGATGCGACCCCATTGGTTCTTACCGTATTTCATCATGGAGGCCTTGAGGATCTCATCTTCTGTGTTCTTCCACACACCTCCCTTCACCATATTTCTCATCTTCACTCAGATCGATTCAAGGTATGTAAAGCGAGAGAGTAACCCTAGATTAGATTTAGGGTTTGGAAATAANTGGATGACTTGCGAACGCTAAGAGAGGAGATGCGACCCCATTGGTTCTTACCGTATTTCATCATGGAGGCCTTGAGGATCTCATCTTCTGTGTTCTTCCACACACCTCCCTTCACCATATTTCTCATCTTCACTCAGATCGATTCAAGGTATGTAAAGCGAGAGAGTAACCCTAGATTAGATTTAGGGTTTGGAAATAATGAGGAATTAGAAAAGACTCAATCAAACTCTCCTCCTTTGTTCGGAAAAGAGAAAGTGAGAGAAATAATGGTTGGTGTTGGCATTAAATACTAGTTGGTAGTCTTTTGCAATCAAACCGCCTTAGATCTTTAGGAATTAGCCTATTTCCTTTTTCCTTTTAATATAATAAATATTATATTATTCTAATTATACATAGGACTTTGGATATATTATTGTCAATTTAATTATTTTTTTGATCAATAGTCGGTTTGGTTATCAATTTGGTATATTGGATAATATCTATTTTTGAAGTTCAGCTATAATATTTTTTATTCTAAATATATTAAAACGTTGATTAATTTTCTTATTTTCATTTCGGTTGGTTATTTTCTTAGATATGTAAATATATTCTTAGATATGTGAATATACTATGGTTAAATTATGTGTAGCTTAATAGATATTGTGCTTAAAATGAAATAAATAATAAGCTGAAGTGTTTTATTTGAAATTGCATAAATGAATATAATGATAATATTTTGAAGTCTCATGCATATATATAAATTCTACAAAAGAATTAAATTGTAATTGGTTAATATTTTCTTTTTCTTTGTAATATGATTTGTGTCAACCTCTAATTTATATGTATAAAATTAAATATATTATTATAATAAATTATATATTCTTATTGTAGTTAGATGTTTAATTTTGGATATAAATTAGATTAGTCGAGTCATTCATTTTGTGAGTATATTGAGTTAAATATATTTTTAAATTAAAATTGAAGTATAATTACTTTTTATTTTAGTTAAGTCAAATTAAATTAGTTTTATGTAGCGCTTAAATATACATGTATTTTCATAGTATTTATTTATTCTTTATTTTAGTTAAGTCAAATCAAATTATATTTTCATAATATTTATCAAATTATATGTTGATTTCTAAATATACATGTATTTTCATAGTATTCATTTACTCTTTATATATTTTTATTATTTTAAAATATATTTTATGTTATTTAAAAATATATATTAATGGAGGTATTAATATTTTGTGAACTTTCCTTTTTAAGAAAGTCATATTATATACATATAATTTCGTTTTTAAAATTGTTTTAAAATTTTAGAAATATTTCCTTTTTATTATATATGTTATTTGGAAAAAGGTAAAAAAGAAATTACATAAAAAAAATTAATAATAATCTTAAAATCTAACAATTCATTAAGGGTATCTATGTAATCAACCATCGCGAGAGTTAACGTGAGCGCGACACGTAGGAAACTGACTTCTCAAATAATATTATAGAGATAATTTGGGTTTCCTTTTTTCATTATATTGTCCCAAACAATATAAATAAGAAAAGGAGAACTCTATAAAATTTAAATACATATAGTTGGAAAATCTCTATAAAATTTAAAGTATAAACTTTTACAGATAATATTTTGTGTTCAAAGTTTAGTTTTATAACATACAACTGGAATTTACATTTCAAATTTTGGATTAAGCTTACTAGAGATGTTTCTCTTTAGAAAATAAAAAGAGAAATGATTTCAATAGCTACAAAACAAGTTTTTGTTTACAAACTAGTTTTTAAAGGTCAAAATGATTAAAATATGTTTCCTTAAAGATTTAAGTGACAATTATACTTTTCACATATATATAAAAATTAATAAACATCAAAAATGAAATATGTTTTTTTGAAATCTTTATTTATTTGAAATTTTAAGTTGGAAAAATGATTTTGCTTTAGAGTTGATAAATATTTATGATATCTTTTTAATTTGATTTTATGAAAATATTCCTGAATAAGTATTACATCTTTTAAAAATTTAGGAAGATATTGATAAGTATGTATAAAATTTTCATAGAATTTAAGAAAATTTTATAAATATTTTATTTCAAAAAAATAATTTAAATGTGTATTTGAGAAGATTTATATATATGTGAATTTCTTACTGAATTTGAACTATTCTTATACCTAATAAGATATTTATAAATAGAAATACAAAATCTTCCTAAATATGTAGAGCTTTGATTTTAATTGAGCTTTTGTAGAGTTTTCGGCAAATGAATCTGAGTTTGTGTTGTTGCTGATCAATTTACATGTATCTCTTTTTTTAACATATTGTTCTGTGTTTTCTCTTTTTCAATTTTCTCGACAATGAGTCAGGGATTACACAATGTATCTCTTAGAGCACCATTATCCCAGTTGCTAATTAGGATTGCTTAGGTTAATTGTAATTAAAAATAAATGAAAATTATGTTTTAATTGGAATAAGGTTGCTTAATGAAGCACAAGCAAGCGTCTGAAATTTAAGTTGCTTGAAGAGACACGCGTCATTTTTCTTCCATCATTTTTCCTCTTGTCTCTCTCTCTCTCTCGTATGTCTTCGAAAATCTCTCCTCCTGGGGAGAATCAGACGGCGATTCCGGCTCTCCTGTGACGGTGACGATGTCTCATCAGTGGTGTGTCTCTTGGTGGCTCTCCTGTGACGGTGACGATTTCCTCGACGATGAATGACTGGGCGTGTCTATCGGTAGCTCTCGTCCTTGTCGACGGATCTCTGTGTGTTTGAGGTTCCTCGAATTGAAAGGTAAAGGAGTGATAAAACTTTGTTTTTCAAACATGCATGTCTTTTCTGAAATCGAAAGTGATTAAACTTTGTTGTGTTTGTTTTTTTTCAGGATGATACGGTAAGAGCTGAGGTCACAACAGATACTCCTCCTGTGAAGCCATTCTCATGGGTATTTTAGTCGAAGGTTTGTGTATTCCTCAGACCTATGTGTTTTTTTTTTTTATTGTGGTTTCTATTTTGCTGAGTCTTGTGGTTTTGATTGAGGTTTCTTGGTGGATATGTATGATTGTTGTGGTTAAAAGCTTATGTTTTTTTTTTTTGATGAATTTGTTGATAATAATGCATGTGTATAAAGCAAGGCTTTTTATGGTTGGTTGTTGTTAGTTCATGTGGGATTAGATTTTAGCTTCTTTCCTTATGTTTCTTTGTCATAAACTGTATCATCACTTCATTTGAATGCCTTTCGTTGATTGAAAGATGAGAGTTCAGTAATTTAAATGCAGGGTGAAAACGTCTTAAATTTGGTATTAAGAGCTCTCAACCTCGCTTTGTGCTTGAGTTCATCCGCTTTAACTGATTCCGAGCATATGCTTGTTTAGTTCATATAAAACGAAATACATGAGGGATGAGTTTTGCTTCTATCCTTTTGTATTTTAACCATAAGAAAAAGGAACCTTTACATTCACTTGTGGATATGCTTATGCTCATTAATCGTGCTTAAAAACAAGGGAGATGAGATAATTGGGTAGAATCATCATATATTACTCTTTTTGTGTTGTTTAGCTTCTCATAACTCTTCTTTCTCCTGGGCTCTGTTGTTCAACAGATAGTGGTGGTATATACTTTTGGAGTATGTGTTTAACTGACGTTTTTTGCTTTGCAGGTGACTTGAAACCAGGGAGTGATGTTAAGCTCACTGGTCCTGTAGGGAAAGAAATGCAGTGACATTATCCCAAGCTAACCGAAGATTGCTCATGGGACAAAAGAGTACAACCAGAGTACAGGTTTGTTTCTCTCTTCGATCTTGATTGATCTGATCAATATTAATGTAGTGGTAGATTGTGGTTGTGTTAGTTGAATAGAGGGTGATTAATGGTATACTTACTGGTACATTGTGGTTGTGGGTTGGGTAATAAATTCAACTTCTGGTTTGAGTTTTTGTGGTAGAGATACACCAAGTAATTAATGTAATAGGTAAATGTCAAGTCGTTATTGTTTCTTGTTTACGGTTTG